ACTCTAACATCAGACATACAAAGAAAGAAACACGTCTACAGGCCTCAGCTGTAACACAAAAACACAAAGGATATGGAAGGCCAAGACATAACGTCCCTGCTCAGCCCATGCACACATTTCTCCCATGGGAATTACCTAGATGAACTCCAGGACAGAATTTAAAAGGACAATCACAAACTTCATCAAAGAATTCAAAGAAGTTTAAAAATGATGGCCAAGAAACATAAGCATATGAAAAAGATAATTCAGGACTTGAAAACTGAATTCAGTAAAGAGATAAAAACGCTGATGAGGACACAAGTTGAAATGAAACTCAGTAACCCAGCTAGAGAACGGGAGGGGAAGAAGGAGGAGTAAAGGAGAAGGTAGATTGCTGGGACTGGAAATGTGGAGGAATCGAAATACTCGATCAAAGAATGTAAAAAGTTTAAAGAAAAATTAAACAAAACATTAAAAGAATACATAAAAATGCTGGGCACCTCAAAAAGACTAAAATTCCCAGGTCAACTATCCAAGCCAGATATTCAACAAGACCACAAAACAAAACCTCCCCAAATTAAGGAAAGACACTCAAATAAACCAACACAGGACCAGAAAAGAAACTTCCCCACAGCAGATTATAATGAAATTATTTAATAGACTGAACAAGGATAGTGTACTGGGAAAAGAGAGAGAGAGAAACCACAAGTCACACATGAAGGAAAACCCATCAGAGTAACAACTGATTTCTCAATGGAAAAATTTTAAGGTCACCAGAGCCGAGAGCAATGCACTTCAAGTTCTAAAAGACCATGGATGCCAACCTAGACTACTGTAAAGCTTTCTGTCAGGGTTAAAGGAAAAAGAAAAACTTTCCATTATATAAACAGACTTAATGAAATCATTTCCAAGATGGGAGAGAAGGCTCAGCAGTTAAGAGCACTGGATGCTCTTCCAGAATTTCCAGTTCAATTTCCAACTCTCACATGGAGGCTCACATCTCTCTGCAATTCTAATTGTAAGGGATATGATGCACTCTTCTGGCCTCTGCAGGCATCAGGCACATCCTTGGTGCACAGACATATATGAAAGCACAAACACGTATACACATAAAGTAATAAAGAAATTCATTTCCAACAAACTAGCCCTACAGAATATACTAGAAGCAATACTTAGGACTGAAGAGATGACTGGGTATAGCCAAGAATACAGAAAGACAACAAATGAAACTATAATTACTGAAACACAAAAGAGGACTAAGAACATAAAGAGCAAAACAAATGAACAGCCCTCCACGAAAGTGACAGTCATCAACAAACACCTTTAAAACAACAACTTAAAGCATTAATAACTCCAATAAGCCAATTAAAAGACAGTTTTATTAAATGGGCTAAGAAACAAAATCCACCTGTCTATGTCTACAAGAAATATCTAACTTTCAAAGATAGGAGTCACCCTAAAGTGAAAGGATGAAAAAATATTTGAACTGCTTAGGTTTTTTTGTCAGCTTGACTCAAGCTAGGGTCATTTGGAAGAGAAACTCTATTGAGAAAAACGTTCCATCAGATTGGCCTATAAGCAAGTCTGTGGAGCATATTCTTAATTAATAATTGATGTGGGAGGGCCCAGCCCACTGTGAGCAGTGTCATCCCTAGGCAGGTGGTTGTGGATGCTATAATAAAGCAGGCTGAGCAAGCCACAGAAAGCAAGCCAGTAATCAGCACTGCTCCATGGCATCTGCCTCAGTTTCTGCCTCCAAGTTCCTGCCTTGACTTCTCTTCATAATGGAATTTAAGCTGTAAGCTGAAATAAACCCTTCTCAAGTTGTTTTTGGTTATACTGTAATCACAGAAATACAAACCAAACAAACACAATATTCTAAGCAATGGAACCAGAAAGCAAGCCAAGAGTCCCTATCTTAATATGACAAAATAGACTTCAAATTAAAACTAATGAGAAACAACATCATCCTAAATGAAGAAAAACTCAAAACAATACATTAAAATCAGACTAAGACAGGGCTACCCACTATCCCTACCCCATTCTCAATATAGTGCAATAGTAGCTGTGGTGATCTGAATGAGAGTGCCCTCATAGGCTCATATATTTGAACACTTGGTCCCTAGTTGATAGAACTGTTTTGTGAAGGATTAGGAGGTGTGGCTGTGTTTGGGGACAGTGTGTCACTGGGAGTGGACTTTGAGGGTTCAGAAGCCCACACCAGGTCTAGTCAGTTGGTATGCCTATCCCCAGCCACACCCACCTCATGCTTGTAGATCAAATCTAAGCTCTCAGCTACTGCTCCAGTGCTATGCCTGCCTACCTGCTGCCATGCCCACCAATTAAATGCTTTCTTTTACAAGTTGCCTTGGTCATGATGTCTTTTCACAGCAACAGCAAAGTAACTAAGACACTGGCAATTATATACTGAGAGTAACCAACAACCATCTAATTGGACTTAAGGCCAGCCCAACAGGAGGGAAAAGTCTCATATTATAACCCTAGTCAACTACCCCTGACTGGTGTGGCCCATGAATCCTAAAGGACAACCTGCTCTGGTGAATCAGCATAATTCCTAACTGCACAGCCAATACTTGTCCTCATACCCACAAATAAGTGTAGGTCTCAGCCTTCATCAAAGAAGGTTCTTTCTAGGGCAAACAGAAACCATTACAGAAGGCTACAACTGAGCAAAATAAAGAGAACCACTGACAGTGGGTGACCAGCTCTACTTGATACATCTACAATCCAAGCCCTACAACTAAGGCTCAGGGAATATATGTATCAGAAGAGAGGGTGGAAAGACAGAGGAGTGGGACAGCCAGGGTGCCAGGATATCTGCTGCAGACAGTGTCTTCTGTATATGACAGAGAAGCTGCAGCCACAAAACCTCAACGGCATGGCTTCTTAAACACCTGAACAATGGTAACACCTTTTGACATGCCAATGTGGATGAAGTTTCACAAGGCTCCACTTTTGGATGAGGAGCTACAGGCAATTAATGGCTACCAAGAGAGGGCAAATCAGTCTTCTCCAGGGACAAGCTCCTTGATAGGTTACCCAATCCTCCAACCTCATGTGGTCAGGCTTAAACACATATACATACAAACAACACTAACGAGACTCAAAAAGTTGTATTCAATAATGAGCATGTGTGTGCGACGTGTGTGTGTGTGTGTGTGTGTGTGTGTGTGTGTGTGTGTGTGTGTGTGTAGCAATAATAAAGAATAAAAGGCCATGTATTTCAGAGGTAGTTGGGGGCACAAGGGAAGAATGGAAGGGGGGGAGATAATGTAAACATATAAAAACGACTGGCTGTGGGCTGTGGCTTAACGGTAGACCTGCGGCCCACTACTATGAGACCTGATGTACAATCCCTAGAAAGAAAAGTAAAAAAGTAGACCATTCAGTAGAGGAAAAGGAAGAAACAGAACACACACGAAGAAGTGATGTCCTTCAAGAAGTAGATGGTTCAATTGATAGTAAAGAGGATTCTTCATTGTTTTGTTCTGGTTTTTCATTTGTTCTGGTGCTGGAGCCTGGACAAAGGCCCCGTGTGTGCTAAGCACTCTCCCTGCTACAGAGCCACATCTGTAGCCTCCAACAGGGAAGCTTAACAAGAGAACCAATTGCATCCTGTCCAGGCCTTGAGCTAATTTTTCCTAGAGCTAATTTAAATGAGACAAATATGTTGGAGCTAAAGCAGTCAGATTTAGCAACACCAAAAAGCAAGCAAGTAGAGTTAAACCTTGTTTTCAAATACATGATTAATTTGTTTTTAGTTTAGGTATGTCCCTCATATTTTGGGTTTACCTGAAATTCATATTTAACTGTGAATCCTGTATTTTATCTAACAGTCCTAGTTGTAGCCGTGACATAGAACACAATTTCCACACTCGAGAGCAGAAGCTAAAATATCAAATCAAAACAACAACAAAACAAGAGTCATTCTACCTAAGCTTAAAGGAAAGCTTAAGGCAAAGGAAGTGAACTGTCTTGGAAAAGACTGCACTTGGTTGCACTAATGTCACACCACCACTTTTAATTCCCCTCACAAAGGACAAACTTTTTAAACCGTGTTTTCTGCCTCCAGCCTCCCAGTACCAAGATTACAGGCGTGTGCCACCATGCCCAGCAGTTTTCCCCTCCTAACATCAAATTCCAGTACATATTTTATCACTAAAATCTCCAGAATCAAGAGGTACATGCTGCTCTTTATTTTAACTTTCCTGGTAATTGCCTCTTCCTGTACTCTACATACGTACTTTCACTCGCTGTATCAAACAGGGTGTTTTTTCCTCCTAAACTGAATCTCTCAAAAATTCAAAATTCCCTGGTTTCAGATCTCCAACATTCAGTAAAAGACTGTGTCCATCCACATCAGTCTATAACTCTTAACGAGCGTAGTTCATACATTCTTTTTCACAGAATGATTTGAATATTCTAAACGAAGTATTCCACTCCCATCTTGAGTAACTAATCGACCAGGTGTGAGATCTACTATATAAACACACGCGTGCTTCTCCAGGGACTGGTCAGAAATATTGGTGCTTTTTCCAGAAGATAAGTTATATACTAATTATTTCTCTAATTGCATAACACAAAATCGAAAAAAAAAAGAAAAATAATGCAAAGGGGCATACACCACATTTATCTTCCGACACCACCAAATTAATAACAAAACACAACACAACTCCATAATAAATCTTGACAGCTGTGTGACCACTGTGTTGCCTTAAGTGGAGGAGACAATGAGACAGAAAGGGGTTTTCTTTTTTTCTTTTTCTTTTTTTTTTCTCTCTCTCTCAAATGGGCTTTCAGAGGAGCGTTTCTTCTTTTTCAAGGGAGGTTTCATCGCGTTTAAGAAACGTGAGAACAAGAAGATGAGCCATCACGACTCTCCCTAGTAAGTTCTCTATTAAAAACTTGACTCAGACGGAGAAGAATCCAAGTCGCTTCCAAGAAAAACAGATGTTTAGAGACAAGCAAAAGGGCGGCGATTAAAATGCAAAGCAGCCTACCTACGCTTTCTCTCCAGCGCTTCTGCTTGAGCAGGACTCTGCCGATGCCACGTCAGGCACTCAGAGAGCCGGGGTCCGCACTTGCATCTCGGATGTGGAAACTGAAGCAGGGGCACAGGCAGGAGGGGCCGCTGAGT